CAGTCGCTCCGGCGTTGGAGACTCGTGTTTGGGCCGATATCGCCCGTCAGGTGCCCGGCGTGCGACAGCCGCCCACAGCCTTCCTCTTGCGCCAGCTCGCGCCGTTTGACGACTCGACGTCGCGGCTCGAGACGGTCGCGCTCGCCGTCATCTCGTGGTTCGTCACGTCGTCGTCTTCGCTCCACGCGTTTTTGTCGTCGACACGCCAGCAGCGTCTACGACAACACGGCGCTCCACGAAGCGTACAACCGCGCCGTCGACTCGCTCGCCACGAGCCTCGACGCGGTCTTGGCGACGCTCGGCGAGAGCGTGGGCAGTCTCTCGGAGCAGCTGCCGCCGCCAACCGTGTCGCGCCCGTCGCACGCGATCGGGTTTGAGGCCTTTGCCCACATCCTGCGGACGTCGCACTCGGTACGGGACACCTCGCGATGGCGCTGACGCAGCACGCGTAGGCGCGGGCGACGTTGCCACCGCTGATGTCCGAAGCGGTCTTCAGCGGCGTGTGGACCATGCGCGCCGCATCGCCGAGCGTCCGAGCTTTGCAGCCGATGGCCTTTCTCGACGTGCTCTGGAGCTGGCTTGGCGCGTCGGGTCTCCGTCTCTCTCTCTGCGGACATGTCTTCTGGGTACGTTGTTGCGCTGACACAGGGATTGTGTCGCGCGTAAAAAGCACATAGAAACACCAAGTGTCACCGGACGATATTTCAATATGGCGAGATCGTCCAGTGGTCGTGTGGCCAATGACACGATGACTCATCGTGGCTTCTGTAGGTGTAGGTGCAGAGCCAATGGCCGGCGTGGCCAGCGCCGCCGACCGCCTTTTCGCTGGACCACGCGCCCCACGCGATGCACTCGTGGCCGCATGGCGCCTCGGCCGACGCTCATTATGTCGGCTGGAGGGACGCCGACGGGCTGCATCTGCACGTCTTTGCATGGCCTCGCCATCCGTCGTATCGAGGGCATGGTCTCCGAACGCTCTGGCGACGCCACGATGACAGCTTGGTCCTGCTGCTGGCGCGAGACGTACTAGCGACGACAGCCGCGTACGACCCCAACGACGACGCGACGCGCCGCATCGCCAGCGTCCATGCCGAGTCGACGGACCTGCACCTCGAGATGGTCTACGGCCGTGTGTTGGAGAATGAAGCCAGCGAATTAATGTAGGCGAAATGCGCTACGCTGGGGACTGCGATGAGCCAGCGAATAACGTTGAGGACCAAGGTGTCAAGTGTGTGGTCGTCGTTATAGGTTGTCTCGTTGGTCGGGACTGCCAGTGGTCGCCGCGAGAGGAGATCGCTAGAGCGTCAACCATGGGTCCCAGGTCCAGGGTTGAAACGAGCAAGATCATGCATGGCGGCACAAGATAGCTAGGTATCTTGGGCGGCGATCCTGGGATCCTGGCGAGTACCAAAACAAATCGTTCGTCGGCAAGGACCGCGCGCGGCAAGCTAAAGGCGTGGCCAGTCGAACCTCGCGCCGGTCAGCGCGTTCACGGTCGTTGGATACGGCGCTACGTCAAGGCGTAATACCTCAGGGGCAGAAGAGCACTGCGATAATGAATGCTGCGCACTGTCCTCTTCCTCGTCCACTGAGCTTGGTTACAAGTGCCATCAATTCTATGGCAGCCTAGACACGCGGCCAGCCCCGCCACTCGTGTGCGGCAAGACTTTCTTGGCAACAGTGCTCTGCGCAACGCGGCAGCGGCTACGTTTTGAACGAGCAAGACTAGGGGAAGGGTTGCTCGTGATCGTAGCTTCTGGAGCGTCCATCTCTGGTGGCGACGGGTGCACCATGGAGTGGGGCTCTAGGAATCAACGGACTTGTCCTCGTTGATTGACGCCAGCAGCAAACTATGGAGTAAAGTGTAGTACATGCAGCATAGTCCTGCCTCGTACAGACCTTGGGCTACCATGCCGCAATTAAAATATTAAATTCGGCATGTGCCACACGACAATTGCCAGATCTTCCCAAAATCCGAGTTGGTGACATGGAGTACCGACGTGGCTTCGGGACGCTGCGCGACGTCCGCGTCATCGGCTTCTACAGCGCGCTGGACGCGCGCTCGGAGCGTCCGTGCGTCGTGTACGTCATCGAGGTCGCCCACGTGCCCATGGAAGGCATGGCAGCGCCTGTCTCGTTCCTCGTCTATCGGTACGCCGACGACCGGCGCGGCCACGTGCTTAGCATGCTGTAGGCGCTACTCGCAGATCGCAATCCTCGCCTCCAAGCTGCACTTTCACCCGTCCGTGGGCCTCCCGCCCAAGTACGCGCTGCAGCCTTTCCCGCTCACGGACGAGCAGCTCTGCCACCGGTCCTCCGCGTTCTACGTCGTATCTCACGCTGGCGTAGGTACGAAGGTCTTCGCCACTTTGTCGAGGAAGTCTTTCTCGAGCTGCGCCAAGCGCACCATGCAGGCAAGCACCACGACGTCGAGTCGACGGCCGGCCTCGACATGCAGGTCCGTCGCGCGTCGTGACAGCACATGCCCATGAGCGCGTAGACGTACTGTGACTTTGTGTCGGCCAACAAGAATCGACCGCCGGCGCCCGTGACGCCGCCGCTGCCGTCCTGGGCGACACCGACCGAGCTCGACGTCCCGTCCCGCAACCCATCGATGGTACGATCGATGCGAAAGGCGGCCCGACGACCGAGCCGTGCATGCTAGTCGTCTGGTGGCACGTGGCCCGACATTGAGAGCTACGACAGCGAAGACTTTGGCGACGGTAGGCTGCGTTCGTTCGTACATCCTCAATCTCAATCAGGCCGTGTAGAGACTCCTCCTCCTCCTCCGTGCGTCGTTGTCGGAGGCGACACGCGATGAAATGCACTTTGCGTAGGCTGCTGGACGTCGCCAACGCGTTCCGCAACGACGTGCTGCAGGCAGAAGGCCAATGCCACGCGCTGTGGAACTGCGTCCAAGCCTATGTGCACGCGGCCGCCGCGTGGAGCCAAGCGGCAGAGACCATGCAGGTGGAGCTCGAGCGATGTGCGCTCCTGCCGTTGCTCGCGAGTGCGCCGCGTGTGGCCAGGACGCCTGCGATGCATCACATGGCGGCCTTCAAGAGCCTCGAGCGCGACTGTGCTCGGAACGTTCTCCAACCGCTGCAGCACCTCTGTCGACAGGTGCGCAGAGCACGAAGCGTCGATTTGACGTCCACATCGCAGGTCTTTCCAGACGTCAAGGACGTCTTTTGGAGTCAGAACGAGACGCCGATCGCCCACCCGATCAAGCGCGTGCTGGCCGAGCGCGCGCACCTTGCCGAGGTTGTACTTGAGACCGTGCGCAAGTGCGGCGCATCCCTCGCGACCGCCCAAGCGGCGTGGCTCCTTGCGCAACAGCCGCCACCGACGACCGAGGTCGAGGTCGATCCGACTGCGAGCGTCGAATCGGAGGAGACATCGCCGGCGATTCCGACGCTGCTGCCAGTGATGACGCCTCATGTGGACGGCCACATCACCCGCGGTACGGTTGGTTTGGTGCGATTGAGGCGAGAACTTTCGCTCTAGTTTACGTATGGGGGCGAATTCCCGACACCTCAAGCGTGCAGCAGCACTTGGTGCTGCGTCCGACGGAACATCCGATCTTACGCGGGCAAGCCATCGCCCAAGTCGCGTCGGGCGGCGAGCGCCTCTTGTACCTCACAGGTCCTGTGAGTGAAAGCGAACGATGGCCATCGGCTCTGTAGGCTCGGGCGATCTCTACAGCTTTGGGCCTGACGAAGAAAAGCGGGGCGATGGTACCGTCGCAGCACCTTTTGCAAGCTCTAAAAAGTCGTGGCGTAGGCTTCCTGGCGCCGCACCTCATCGAGCAGTTTGCGCTCGACAAGGCGCTGAACGGGTCGCGCATCGTGAGCATTGCGTGCGGCGCGCAACATGCCGCCGCCATTAGCCAGCACGGCGAGGTACTACCCTGTGTTGTATGGCGCCACGCGAGAGCCACGCGTGTAGCTGTACACGTGGGGCAGTGGCGAGGACGGGCGGCTCGGCCACGGCGACATTCGCGACCGAGCGATTCCGCGCAAGGTCATGAGCCTCCTCTCCCAGCGGTACGTCCTCTCGTCACAAGAAGCGCTTATCGCGGCTAGCGTCGTGCAAGCGAGCTGCGGCGGCGCACACACGGCCGTTGTTACTACGACGCATGGTCTCTACACGTTTGGACGCGCCAAGAACGGTCGTCTCGGCCTCGGTGAAGACGCCACAACGTTTAAAATGGTGCCAACGCCTCCATACACAACACGTTTCAACTTGATACGTAGACGCCGGAAGCCATTGCAACGCCCGTGGACGAGTGGACGGCGGTTTGCTGCGGCTGGAACTTTACCGTCGCGCTCACGCTGGCACGACAAACGTGTTGAGAAGCGCGACTGATCGACGAGATGTATGTAGGCGGGCCGCGTCTACTGCTGGGGCAAGCAAGGCGAGGGGCAGTGCGGCTTAGGGTACGCGAACCAGGACCAGTGCGCACCCGTCCGCGTCGACGCCCTGGCTCCGTACGAGGTGCGTCACCGTACGCATCATAATCGCAAGTGCGAATCTGGACGAAGATTGTCCAAGTTGCTTGCGGCTACACGCACACGCTGGCGCTGTCGCGGCAAGGCGATGTCTTTAGCTGGGGTCTCGGCGAGTACGGCCAGCTCGGCAAGGGCAGCGTGTACCAGGTTGGAACGTGCATATACGACCTTTCTCGATGCGGTCGTAGCCCGTGCCGGAGCTGGTCGATATGAGCCACTGCATGGGCCCCCCTGACCAAGTGCAGACAGTGTACTGCGGCGCGTTTCACTCGGTGGCGACAACGACCCAAAACGTCATGGTGCGAGAAGGTCTCATTTTCTACTTGGCGTATGCTGCGTCGTAGCTCGCGTGGGGACTCAACATGTACGGCGCCTGTGGTCTCGGCCACGTCCAGAACCGAGACACGCCCGAGGTACTGTTTTCAAAAGAGACGGCGGCAAGCACACGAAAGCGTAGCGTCTCGACTGCTTCGATCCGAACCTCGCGCTGCGCGTGGCGTGCGGCCACAAGTTTACCGTCGCCGTTCAGCTGTACGGTGTCTCGTCACCGTCGATGATGCGATGTGGGATGTAGGCCGCGGGAGATGGTCGAGACGGCGCAGGTCGAGCCCGAGCCAGTGGGTGGCGCCGACCACGGCGAGCCGCCGCACAGCGGTGTCGCGAGAGAAGAGGAGCTTCGTCGGACAAAGAAGGTACAATCGCCGTCCGTGGAGACGATGAAAGTTGGTCTGCAATAGCTCTGGCGCAACCGCATCACTGGGCCGAGAGTAAGGACTCGGCGCTGGCGCAGTCGCTCTGGCGTCAAGGCATCCCGCCCTCGATCCGCTCGACCGTGTGGCCGCTCGCCATCGGGAACGGGCTCAAGATCACGCCCGAGATGTACGACATCTACCGCCATCGCGCGTCAAAGGCCCGTACGTGCTGCCAACGGAGTAGTCGCCGTGGATTGACAAGAGGTAGGGTCGGGCGAGATGCTGCCGACCGAAGGCCGCGAGCACACGGTGATGTTGATTCACACGGATCTGCCGCGCACGTTTCCGTCGCTCAAGCTCTTTGACGCGAGCGGTACTTGGCAACGCAGCTGCCCATGCTCACCAGAGGTAGGTCCCTACTTTGAGTTTCTGCGCGAAGTGCTCGAGACGTACGCGTGTTACCGACCGGACCTGGGCTACATCCAGGGCATGTCGTACATCGCCGCTCTCCTCTGCCTGCACATCCCGACGGACCGGTGCGAACCATTGATGGAACGCTCTGTGCTACCATGTGCACTAGGTACTTGACGTTCCAGTGCTTGGCCAATGTCATGGTCCACGAACACCTCTTTACCTTTTACCTCCTCAAGGCCGACCTCTCCCGTACGTGTATCATTCAATCTTGCGTGGTGATGGGTCGTCGTAGACGTTTACTACGCCTACTTCGACGACGGCTTTGCGTCGACGCTCCCCGACGTGCACGCGCATCTCCAGAGCCTCGGCATCCAGACGTCCATGTACCTCATGAACTGGCTCCAAACGCTCTTCCTCCAAGTGCTGCCGCTGGAAGTGGCTTCGCGCGTACCGCCACTCTGCTCTGCGCCTGTGATCTGTAGGAGTGCCGTAGGTCTTTGATTGTTTCCTCCTCGATGGCGTCGGGTTTCTCTTCCGGACGGCCCTTGGCATCATCTCGCTTCTCTCGCCGACGCTTCTCCAGAGCGAGCTCGAAGAAGCGCTGCCGCTACTGCAGCGCCACCACCAGTACCACGCGCAGTGGGCCTCGGTGCGTCTGCCGTTGCCAGCACGGAAGCTCAGCGCTCTGTAGACGCTGACCGAAGATCGCCTCTTTGATGCGATAGCGACCATGAGTCTACCGAGCCGCATAACGACGGGCCTCGACAGCGCAGTGCAGAACGTGTACTTTTACCAGCCACACCTGCCCGCGGAGCCAGCGCTGTTCCCAACGACCCTCACGCGGTACAGACGACGGACTGCATGGCGATTGCCTCATGGCCGCGCCTAGGCGCCGGTCCAACTACGACGGAAAGAAACTTCTCCGCTTGACGTGAGCGCGCGTTTCTATCAAGCGCGGCGCTGGACTTGCTGGAGGGCAGCTGGCTCGTGTGTCAAGTGGTAGAGGACTTGCAGTGAAACAAACGCGTCTGCTTTTTGAACTGCGATCTTTCGCGTCTGGCGGGAGTTTCCAAGCAAACCATTGGTCAAAAGACACTTGCCTTTTTGAATTGACCCAATCACAGCGCGGCGTGGACCACGAAGGAAGGGAAGATCCCGTGGCAGGTGTCGAGACTACGTAATCCTTTCTCGTTCGGGTTCGATTTGGACCACGCGTGCTGAGTCATTCGTCCAAGTCAATGTGGTCAGTGCACGAGAAGTTGCCATGGACGATCCCGATATTGTTGGAGGCGGCGTCTCCTTCTGCAAGACAGCCCACACCTCTTCACAGTGGGCCGACCAGCCCGAGTCCGAACCCGTTCGTAAACAAGAAGAGTGTAAACGCGGACGACGACAAGCCATGCGACACCTGACTCCCTCTTGGTACCAAACAAAAAATTGGCGACGCAAAGACATGCCAGTGTCGCGAGGTCGATAGACAACGAGGAATTGAGTGCCCTGCGACATCCAACCAATTCACTCAGGAAGGCTCGGTGGGTACGCGTCGAGGAACCCACGCAGCGACGACCGATCAGCAAGAAAAGGCTTCAACGCGCAAACGTTTATCCGGATCGTCGTGTCGCAATTCCCTTACAAGAATACACAATGCTTTTTCGAGCGCAGCGGTGCAAACCATGGATCGAAGCCAACAAGGCTAGCAAACCCAGTCAAACCCACGGGTGTCCGTGTCCATGGAAAAGAAACGATCAAGAAGGAAGAAGCTGCGCAAGAAACAGGCCACAGGCCTGTGCATGTACGGGCAGTCACAAGGTGGTATATGCTCGTGCAGCACGCGGCGGGCTGAGTTTGCAGCGTCCTTGGGTTGAGGCGAGGGAAGAAAATCCCTTGGTTTGTGGTTGGTCGTCGCCATGATCGGGGCAGAGGCGACTCATTTTGGCGAATTATTTGGCGGGTCCGGATAGCCGCACGACGGAAGGTCGTTTGGCGCCTGCTGAACTGACGACCGAATACCTCTGGAGACTCAACCCAGAAACGTCACAGCCGCCGCCTGCATACAAAGCATATGCAGCCAAGCCGGTGCCGATCCAAACCGATTCAGAGCGCGAATGGACCTGGACGACACCGCCATGGTCCGCCACCGGCGCAAGATGAACAAGCGCAAGCTCCGCGCGCAGGAAAAAACGCGCATGGCCTCGCTCGAGACAAGCGTCACGCGTCTGCGCCACGAAGCAGCCGACCTCGAGACGACGCTGAGCAACAAGTTCGCCGAGCACGTCCCGATCAGCGCGCTCTTGGGGGTCGTCCAGCGCACCGTGGCCGCGCTCGCGACGGGATGGTCGCCGGCCGTCGCCCACACGCAGGAGGCGCTCCTGAGCAGCCTCTTTCGCCCCGACATTGCCTTCAACGGCGCGGTCGTCGGGCCCGCCAACATGATCGAGCGCTGGAAACGGTCGTGCCAGGCCGCCCGCGGGTTCGCCATGGCGCTCGAGTCGGTCGACGTGGTCGCCCGGCGCCTCGTGCGCCTGCAGCTTCGCGTGGGGTTTGGGTCGCCGCGCGAGAGCGCCGAGGCCATGTACCCCGACGTAGAGGCGATCCTTGGGTCGAATCCGTTATTCCGCACCATGTGTCACCGGCCGCTGCCACCTCTGCGCTGGACGTGCCACGTGACCTTTGACGAGCATTTTCGCGTCAAACGACTCGAGATCGACCCGCAGTACGCGGCGCTGCTCACGGCGCTGTGGCCCCACGTCGACGACGTTATCGAGATCATGGCCTACTTGGAGACGAAAGCGCGGTCGCGGACCATCCAG